AGAGGTTGTTATAAGAAAAATACAAGTTAAATAAACTTGTCAAAATTATAAATGAGCCAAAAGGGTCTCGTAACGTAACGTGTGGTTGATGTGGGACTTGTTACTTTTTTACTTCAATTTTATCCCTCCAATCTCCATACGTTTCAATTACGATAATAGAAATCGTATTACGCCAACAAATTTCCGAGTCTTCCTCTCAAAAAAAAATATTTCTGGTAGCCATGGAGATTTTCAGATCGCGTATGTGCATAGTATTTTTAGCTGAGCAACCCATTACTCAGCTCTCTGCACAATAAAAGCGATGACCCCCCATGGTTATGCGAGTAAGGAGAAAACGTGAAATTATGTGACTCCAAGACCAAGTTTAAGAAGCAGTTGGGATAGAATACGAATGAGTTTTTATGAAGATGTTGCCTCCAAAGACGGAGCAGGCAGTCTCGGAGAAAATATATTTGTGTCCAACTGTGGCGAGATGATGGTGGTGGCAAAAAATGCCCAAGAGAGTAAAACCGAGTGGACTGCATGCGTAATAAAGATGTCTTAATAAATGTCTGTATTACGAGGTTTCTGTGTACACTTAATTTATCCGGAGTTGTTATCATTGAGATAAGGATTTGTCATAATTATTATGATAATTCATCACCTGCCAGGCTACCAATGGAAATTATTTCCTCTTTTGGTGCGCTATTTTATTTCACCCGATGACGAGGCATGACTCCAAACTGTTTTTAATAAGAATGACGAGACAAGAGTGAGTTGTTGCTAATTGGATATTTTGAGTGGATTTGGTGGGTGGACAGTTTTCGGGAGAGGATTAAAAAATAGGTTGGGAAATTGCTATCCAGGATGAAGACTTACATACACACGACTTCATTTCCTACAGATCGTGTGGCAAGTAAAAGTTAAACTTTTCCTGTAAATGTAAAAGCCGCTTTTAGGAGTTTTTTTTCCTCACCTCGGGAGTTAATCCGACGTGAACAAATTGCGTTGCAAATTCTCCTTTAAAAATGTATAAGTTTGTTTCCACTTTCACTTTGTTTGTAAATCTTGTCAAGCGAGAGAGGAACGAGCTGTGTGTGGGGAAAAGTTGGCAAATTGGAGGATTTGTTTTATATTTACAACATGTTTCAAATACAATTGTGAAATAATACTTTTTCAGAAATGTGAGTAAAACCAGCAACTTTTGGAAAATATCTCCATAGCAACGAGCCAAAAAAACGGCGTATGTACTCTCTCTACTTCCCCATTAATCAGTGCAGTCTTTAAGCAGAATCGGTTTTTTAGTGTCCCCGGAGAGCGTTCGTAGTGAAATTCCTAGACACTTTTGTTGGAGATGTCTACCCGATTTTTTTGCGTGGAGTGGGTGGAGTTTTTTTGTGTGGTCTAGAAAAAGATGAAAAATATATACAAATAAAATTACCAAAATTTCCACCCTCCTCACCCGACAGATAAGATGTGTACCTCTCATCCCTCACTCACTCACTCTCTCCCACTTTACATTCCCATTATCTGTCTCTCAAATCCCAACCGACTTACTCATTCTCAATTGTCAGAAATTTGTAGTATCTTCTTTTTCAAGGAGAGAGGAGGGGGGAGTGAAGAGAGGTATTTGTCACTCGATCTCTCGAGGCGGCGGTGGGGTTGCGTGTCCCCAAAAGCAGAGTTGCATTTCATGATAAAATCGGAAATGGAGAAATGGCCGCAGCGAGTAAAAGACGGGAAGGAAATTAATCGTAAATCTCGGCAGTAGAATTTTAGAGAAAATCCATCCCAACAAACAACTGGTCAGTAGTGATAGGACAGAATAAAGGGACATAATTAATGGGAAGTAATGTATATATATTCGTAGAGAGAAAGAGAGAGGGTCCACCAAATCCTCTACTGACAGATGTGCTTACATTTTATGTAACCACGATCCAGCAGCAGAGTCAATTGTGTTCTTGGTCTTGTCGTGTTGATCTCTCTGCTAGTGAGTCACTCCTCACGCCTTTGTGGAATGGAAAAGTAGGAATGAATTTATCTACGAGTAACATTGTTGAACAGGAAATATTTTCATAGAAATGAATTCTTTACCTTCCCACTCTCTCAACCTGCGCATTGTTGTATTCTATGCGCTGCCTCTTGAAACGTACAGCCTGGGAAATATCTACGTTGCGTCCTTTGTTCCTTTCAAGATGAGACTTGAAGAGTCCCTTCCTCCCTTCAGGGAGTCTTGAGGTCTGATTTTATATCGAGATTTTCCCAAATTTATTGACAATCTGTCAAATAACGTTTTCTTCCCTGAAATTCGTCCTGTGTGGTGCGGATGTCACTTGGATGTCTTTCTCTCTCTCCAAAAATTGATTGATCTGTTATAAACTGTTTGACTTAAAGCGTGCAAATTCATGGGACAAACCATGAAATCATGCCGAACAAAGGGGGCATTATTCATGGTCACTTAAAGTATGGAGTATAATGATAAGGAAGCTTATACATATTTACTTGCTCCGACCACACATTTTAACATTTTCCTATTACATAAATCCCAAGAATCTTAGAACTCTGTCACCATGACGTTTTCCTTATCTCTCTCTCCCAAAGTCTGTCTAATCAGCAAAAAAATCTCATTTAATCACTGTCACCCTTCTGCCGCTGGATGGATATAATTAGGCTGCAAAGATATGTAGGATAATTAGCGGATATTTTTATTTACCAATTGCGTAACCAGTGGCAACGAAACACTTGATAATCATACACTCTCCCCTCGCACGTCTCTTACTCAATTGAATCTCAAACATTAATTATGCAATCGTATCCTCTGTGGACGGTTTTGGTGGAGTGCAACACAGTTTATCCAGGAATGAATGAAGTACTCCTTGCTTTGTACGAGTGACAATTCTGCCATGACTCAGAGAAAATAATGAGAATATCGGACCAGCAAAAATATATTGGGCCCGTGTGGGTCGTTTTCCGAGAGGGTCGGATGTTTGAGCATTGTCACAATTTAATGCTTTATGGTGCAACGTGCCCATGGGGGGTGTATGATTTTTGAAGAGTTTCTGTCATGCTGAATGACCTAAATAATATATTCGATTATAACAGAAGGTTCATAATTCAATTCATCTTTTAGATGTTTTTTCAGACTGAGAATAAAATTGCAGTTTTTCTTTTTCGTTTGGTCGATTCCCGAACATTTGTGAGCTGACAATGGATCGCTGATTGTGTTTCAGTAAATAATGCATTTCGGAAGTTGTATTTGCATACATTTTGGGATCATTATTTACAAAAGGGGGATCCGAGAGATCTTCGACGGGTGGTCATGGCAACGGGAAAATTTAGAGGTTCCATGCTAAGGGAAGGGTGCTAGAGCGGGTGTAATTTTGCTGGTGGGGTGATTATGCACTTTAAAATTCCGGTGTGGGGCGACAACTTTGGAGAGATTGGGATAGTATGTTTGCCATCACAACTTGAAGGCAATTTTATAATGAAATTCGGTAGAATCCACACCCCTTCTGATATTTACTATCTCTACCCGTCAAATTATTCATTATCTGGATGCCAAGTATCCAATCATGCTCCCTCCCCATCCACTTATCCCTCTGATAATTAATCCTCTAAATTATGCACAGGAATTTAAATTCATTGCCAATTCCACTTTGTGAATAATTTAAACGCAGGAATTTCTAGAAATTTTAACCAATCCAACTGATCACCACAACTGCGCCATAAAATATACTTACAAACGAGCCTTACATCAAGTAATCATTCACGGGAGTGAACTATTGACAAGGATCATATTTATTTATGTTTCTATTGAAAATGTTTCAAACTCGGAGTATTTAGATTCAAATTATCGTATATTGTGAGTGGTTGGTGGTGAAGGGTGGAAAACAGTGATTGATCTTTGTTTCTAGTTCAGAAATTTTTCGACCCAATTTTCCGAGCAATTGATTTTTTGACCCATGACGAGAGGTTATATGAGAAGGGTGCATAAATAAGCAGATATATTTTCATCGCTCAAGATTGTACTTTTCCAGAAAATATCCGTAAAAAATTTGGCTGTTTTTCTACAAAGTTGCATCCCTCGTAAATTTTTAACGTCTGCATTAAAAATTACACTAATTGGCCCAGAAGCTACACAACTTTAACTGCAAATCTTTTGCCTGGAGTTTACTGTTTCCTCCCCAGATTTTCACACCCCGCAAAAATATCGCCAGACTGAAACATTTAACAATCCCTAAAAATAATCCTGGGCAATAACCAAGCTGTCAATTTAAGCCTGGGTTTGACTTTTGTATGGAATTTTGTGAATGAACGGAATGAGCTAGTTGTGGAATTTTTGGGATGGAAAAGACCAGAAGAGCAGATGGTTTGGATAGATTAGAAAAAAACGTAGACTCACAGAAAAGAAGCATAATGTCGTCTACCGCTTTTGAAAAATTTCTCAAAATTTCTCAAAATTTCCTCCCAGCAAGTGACAAAATTTACCCCAAAAATTGTCACATTATTCACAATTTCTCCTGCAAAAATCTACACTTCATCCCATCCACCCTCATATTTTGTCACCCTCTCAAAACCCCCTCCCCTTTCCTTAAGCAAATAATTCTATTTAAACAGCTGCTGCTAAACTGCACTCGCTCAGCGTCTGGTGACAACTTTGACGAGGTGAATATTAGGGTGCAAATGGGATCGATAATTATTGGAAATACGTAGTCCCCATAGCAACGCATCGCATCCTATGTAGCAGTTCCATAAAATAAATCATAATCCAATTCACCCCATTTCGGAAACTTTTCCGTAAAAAAAACTTTTCACTCTGTTTTACTAAAGTCTACTCACAAAGCCATTATCGTAAGAAATATGTGCACGTCACAGGCGAAATAAAGACAGTAGCCAGGAGACACCCATCACCATTGTATCTCCAGTGACAACCCGTTCACAGATAAAACCGGCTAATGAATCTGGTTGGAATTTATGTCAACATTTTTTCCTAATTTTTTTCTGTCCTAATTTTTTTTCAGGTCTCACAAAGGAATTGTACTATGTTCGAGAAGGAGTTCCAAACACGTACGCGCTCAATTTCGTCGTCCCTCTGAAGGTGAACGTAACCGAGTTGAAGTTCAGTTGGGACGGGGTGCCAAGTCCGGTAGGGGGGAAGAGGGGGGTGAGTAATTTTAATTTTATGTTGTCATGGTTTCAAGTTTTATACCCGTTTAATTCAATTGATTGACATCGCAACACTTTTAGAATATTAAATTGACACGTAGGAAAGTAAAACTTGAGACGGAACGTCACTTGTCAGTGTGGTTACGAAGACTCAATAAACCGGTCACGTCGTAGATATTTTTAAGATTTTATCTAATTTCTCTGACGCCCTTTCTCAATTTTATTTTATTCAATTGCACCCTTGTCGTCGTGGTGTGTTTTTTACGACAAAAGCCGTCTTAAGGATTTGTATAGCGACAAAAGCAGTTGGGTTTTAATCCTCGAGACTGAAAAGCAGAGACGACCACTCGAAATCCATCGGCACACAGGCTGCCATTTGGCCACCAATAACAGATTTAAGCACTAAGCACTCTCTTCCCAATTAAGTAACACATCTTGAAAAGATCACTCTCCACAAAGGCAATAAAAAAAGGATTAAAAAATTGAGTCGTTTAAATCTCCAGTGTGTTTGCATAAATTAAGCATAATTGTTGCCATACTTATATTTGTGGGCAAGATTTAATTTATGTTGCCATCTTTATTGCTGAATAAAATCATTCAAGTATGAAATCCCTCCAAACAAACACTGAAGTAAAAAAATCGAGAAGATGTTTATGCAGATCTCTTTTAAAAAACGATCCTACTGATGGAAAGGAAACGAGCTTTTTTATGTGCTTACTTACTTATTAGACACCCGAAAGATGATGGGTGTTTGGAATGTGGAAGCGTCAAAGTTTCAAGTTTGACAGTAGATTTTATCGGTGCTGCATTTTTTGTCGGTGTTTTCAGATTAAAATGTTTCAAGCATTTGGATCTTGTCTTACTGGCAACGAGGTGTTTTTTTGTTAATTAATTATGCTAGGAAATGCAAAGACACATTTTCCGTTGGCGAGATTTTGATTGATGGATTTATTGAGAGGATACTTATTGATATCAAATTATTAATGTATTCAATTTCCGTGGGAAATGAAATTATGAATAAGAAAAATGAAATTTATTCATAGCTTTAATGTTTTTGAAAATATTATGATTTTTGTATAAAAAAATGAATTAAATTAAATTAGAAATTAATTGAATGATATTATTTTCACAGCCGGCCTACACCTTATCAACGACTACGTCTTCCTCAACAATCCTCCCAATCCCCACCCCCTCAATTCCACTCACCGGATTTATTCCCACCACACCCACCACATTTTCAATCTATATCCCATGTAGCGGGTTAAAAACTGCCGAAGTTATATTGGAGCTTGCAATCAACGTTACCACTGCAACGGACCCCAGCCAAATTACCAGTATTTTGTTAAAGAGGAAGAAAATATGTTTGGAGGGAGTGAAGGGTTAGTTCCTATTCATTTATGAAACTTAATCCATGATTAAGCAGGCATTTAAAATATTAATATATTTTCTTTATAGAAACCGCCCCAAAAGTTCCCACTTCTACAAAACGCCAGAAGAAACCACACCCACAGAAAACCTCAATTTCCATGGTGGATGAACACAAAATGGAGAATTTTACCGAACCAGGTCTAATATACTTGATAGTCGGCTGTGTCATTGGCGTCGGCGTGGTTTTCGTAGTGGTTTTGGGGATGGCATGGATTCGAAAATGTGGGACGAATCAGAAAAATCACATCATTGTTGGTACCTCGACAACAACCACAACAACGAAATCGTCCAACACTTCAACATCAAGTTTGTACAAGGAGGATCACGTTTATTCCAGTGTCGGAATGGCCACCGTAATTCCAGACTATGTCAACTGTCTGGACTATTATAGAACTGACAATTATGGAAATTCCAAAATTGTTCCGAGGTAAATTACATACTCATCCAACAATCCAAAATGTCAGAAAATTAACAAAAAAATTTATCGACAGGCACAAAATTCGACTCCAAACGCTTATCCAAGAAGGAACGTACGGTCTCGTTTACAAAGCGACTATCCAAGGAAACAATTCTGAAAAACCAATCCTCGTAAAAACCGTGATGGAAGCGACACCTTCTCATTTGCAGAAATCATTACTCCTCGCAGGATTTTCTACGCAGAAACAACATCCCAACATTCTCCATCTCATCGCTACCACGCCACCGGTCGAGATGGGGACAGAATTTGTAATTTACGATTTACCAGAGTTTAATTGGTGGAATTTGAAATCGTTCCTGTGGAACCTGGACAATTTGGAGGGGTTAGATTTTCTGGGGCTGGGTTTGGGTGTGGTAGATGGGTTGACCTTTCTCCATGGGGAGGGTGTCGTTCATGGAGATTTGGGGGCAAGATGTGTCGGGTGAGTAAAACATTGCCATTCTAGATAAGGAAGTAGATAAATGGATATAATTTAATTGTAATTAAATTATAGGGTTGTAAATTGTGGTGGCGTTTTGGTGGCAAAATTATCGGATGGGAGTCTCGCAAAGGATTTGTTTCCAGAAGATTATTGCCATGACAACTGTGGAGATTTGAGAGCATTACGATGGGTTGGACCGGAAGGCATTTTGCAGGAAAGGAATAGTATTAGTGGTGACGTGGTGAGTAATTATTAATTTATGTGGTAATCTTGGTGGTTGCAGTAAGAATGAAATTCAAATTTATCTTGCAGTGGTCACTGGGAATATTATTCTGGGAAATGTACACCTCTTCAAAAATTCAGCCGTACTCGGAAGTTTCGATTACAGAATTGTTCTCTTATCTTCAGGCTGGGTTTCGCCTTCCCCAGCCAGAAAATTGCGAAGATGGTGTGTGGGGAGCCGTTATAGATAATTGTTGGGGGTGGGCTTGTGATGGGAGGAACTTGTCGGGGCTCAGAGATGGTCTGGTGAAGATTTTAATGAGGCGGATAGTATAGGTCTTAAATGTGTACATATGTTTCCATGCAATAAGATCACCATACAACAATCTTGTGTAGTTTATCGTGTAAATTGTTAAGTTGTGTTTTATACGGAATATTTTCATACGGTAAAATAAATACTAATCAGTGTGAAGTCGATAATGTTTGTGACTTGTCGAGCATTAATTTAAGCATATTGAGGGAACATAGATTTCATTACAGAACATTTCAATCATATGGATCAAAATAAATAGCATGAGTTCAAAACGGAAGTATCTGTATGTATGTCCCTCTATCAAAGCCCTAGTAAATTAAAAATACATTTTGGGTCCTCTGAGCACGAAAAACTGTATACAAATCTAAACTTTCATTTCTCGGGGTTACGTTTATTTGCTAGTTTAAATTCTTACTCAAAACGTAAATTTATTTCAAATTCCCAACACTATAGATTCGGGGCCGATACGTGAGCCAAATTTGGGGGCTTATTTTACGAATTTAGAAATGTGGAGTTTTAATGTATAATTTTCAATTTTTAGTTTTTTATGCAAATCTATTTATGGAGTGTTCCATAAGTATCCGGATTTTTTTCAATCGCATATATCTATGGGATATCAGGTTGCCCCAAATTCGAAATGACCGAATTCGTGTAGCACATACATCCATCTACCAAAATCCGAAAACCAGAAGTCGATATCTCTTACCGTTCCAAAATGGGGTCAAAAACCCTGGAGCAACTCGCAAAAGCTGTCCGCCACTACCTCGAAAAAGTGGTTACTCGCTCCAAGAAATTGGGCTGTAGCAACTTTAAAAACAAAATAATTCAGAAACCGAAAATTTGTTATACACTACTGAGGTATTAGCTACCAAAAATTGATATTCACAAAAAAATATCTGGTCAGCCCATTCGTGTGGCAGCACCCAAAGTGATAAGATTCGTAATAAAATATAGCTTCAAAAAGTAAAAATTCTAAGGTGAGGGAGTGCACTAAAAAGTATTAAACAAGCTCCCTCCGCCACCCAGATAATTTTACTTCGCCTGGGCTGTCTGTCGCATGCAAAATATCTGTTGTAAATAAAAATATGCAGGTCATAAAAAAGTCGCTCATAGAGTCACCTAACAAATCTAAAAACAATGGTGGTCTTGCATTGTATACTATATAATATCGTTTAATATAATATAGTTTATAATATAGTTTAAAATATTGGTTTATCAGTACAACGAGCACGATGTCGAGCTAGTTATACAAATAATTAATAAATATTTAGGGACGGATGAACCATATGTTAATTAGTACCAAATTATCATAATTGCTAATAATAATAATGATACCCATACCACCCAGCAATGTTGATCTGGATATTAACCAATTCAAAAGTTAACTTTGGATCAAGAAATTAATTCTTACGCCGAAACATTATTGTCGATATTTTGCATGCGACAGACAGCCCAGGCGAAGTAAAATTATCTGGGTGGCGGAGGGAGCTTGTTTAATACTTTTTAGTGCACTCCCTCACCTTAGAATTTTTACTTTTTGAAGCTATATTTTATTTAATTCTTTTTTAGGTTTGAATTTTAAAAGCAAATATAGAATGTAACCACTATTACACGCTATTTGCAACGAAACATTTACACTGTTAGTCTTGCGCATATCGTGGCCAATTTTTTAAAAGTGCCAGTTGATAGGTGTCAGTTCCGATATTCCTAACCGACTCAAATTTGCTCTTCGACTTAGAAAACCATTTGTGACAATTTCTAAAAGGTATGGGTGACTTCAAAGGGTCCCTCCACACAAAAATTTTCCCAATTTCAGTTCATATTCTTCCATTAGGTGCGACTAGAAAACGCTGTACCAAATTACAATTCGATTGGATGAGTTTCAAAAATCGGTATGGGTCATCCCCTATGGTCCGTCAAGATGAAAATTTTACAATTTTACTTCATATTATTTCATTAGAAACCATTATCAACCTATGTACCAAATTTCAGCTTTGTATAATAATTTTAAATCTGGTGCATAGCACCCCATTCACTTACATAACCCCCACGGGTCAACCATTTGACCGATTTCTCCCACCATCGAACTCGTTTCCTAGCTTTGTCCGATATGCATATGGTAAAATTGTCGTGTTAACGGACGGACATGACGGTCCCATAAGTCCGGGCACGGGCTAAGAGTATAAATTACTCCATGGCGAGCGTGTAACTATATAGTTACTATATAGCAACCACTCGGAAATTTTCGTTATAGGGAAAAGTCGCTGGTTTCTCAACCAATCGACCCAATTCTTGTTTCCCCTTATAGTAAAGTGGGGGCGATCTTTCATAAATTTAGATACCCAACTATGTAGGTAGTCTCCTTGGTACTTAAATTGCGAAACGCAACCATTCACCACCATCAAAACTTTTTTCTAGGACCTCATATCGAAAAATCCCTTTCAATAGCACTAGATTATGTCCGTAATTGATTTTTTGCTCTCTTTATTTTTGTCTCTAAAACGCACCCCCTTGGCTGTAGGAGGCGGTCAAGGTTTTAGAAGGGGGGGGGGGGGTGAATGCATACTAAGGTGTAAATGTAACCATAGTTTTTTACCTCACCTTAGAAAAATAGAAATTTGCACTGTAGGAGCGTAATTCGATTCAGTACTTAAAGTTATCACCTAAGATAATACATCGTTTTAAAGCTTACAACTTGGACATTAAATCCTATAAGGTTTTACAAACTTACAAATACAGTGGAGAGTAAAATAAAAGTATCAAACCGGATGAGGGAAAAACGACTCGACCTGAAGTCATCAAAATTGGACGTCCCGTACAATACGATTTACAGCCAAGATCATCAAAATGATTTTATTCTCACATAGTTCAACTCTCCCAGCTTCAAGAAAACCATATAAACAAAACTTGAAAATAAATCTAGGCAAAATTATCACGTTCTGCCTGAAAACGGATCAAATGCAATTAACATGGGAGAGGTGAACAACGTTCCCAAATTTGCCCCATACAAGAACCATTGAAGAATTTCTGTCTTTATCCAGTAAAGAATATCATAGTCGAAAAACTTCAGCCAAAATTTTGAACTTATTTCACAAGGTGTGGTCAATACTGGCAAAAAAGGTAGCTCAAAACAGTGGCGAAGCACTTTTTGGAGCGTCTGACAAAAGCTTCTACAGTTTGGGCGGAAGGGGGTGCATGAACTATTTGAAGCAAAAAATAATTAGTTTCAGCCCTTGTCTACTTCTGACTTAAACTGTGTTTAAATAACTTTGTTACTTTATTTTATATGAGCGAATTCAAAAATTCCGGATACTTATGGAACACCCCATACAATGGGGGCACAAACCAAAAATCTAAATGTCTAACCCAGATTATTCTTTGACCAGCTTGAAAGACAAACCCTTTAAAAAACATTTAGTGCGAAACTTGCGAAGATGTGCAAAATTCATAGCGAATGGGCAAGTTCCTATATTAGCATCGCATAACCTAATAGCATCTAATTAATCTCTAAAGCAAATCCTCAACTGCAAAAACCTTGCTGCAAGGTGACCCTAAAATAAGCTGAAAGTTAAAGTTTTACAGATTAACTCTTTAAAATTTCGGCAGTAAATTGGGTTTGCTATTATTTCTTCAATTGTTTAGAAATTATTTTATTCATAATTGACCATAAGTGAAAAATATATATCCAACAAAGTCAGAGGACCGGGGGCCGTCGATACGTGGGACGCACATCACCTATTTCCGCCAGTAATTTCCAATAAACTTTACTGACAATGGAGGTCTCCCAACGTGTGTTCACAGATTTGGACCAAACTTGCGTCAATCGATCACAAATATAATTAGAGTGAAATTTGTCAATGGAACTATCTGCCAATGCGCAGGTTTGGCGGAGATATTTGCATAAAAAGAGGAGAAAACACACCCCAAAGGCTGGCAAACTTGTCATTTTCCAAATTTGCTGCGCATTTTTCCCGTTTTGGATGCAAATATCTCCGCCAAACCTGCGCATTGGCAGATAGTTCCATTTGCAAATTTCATTCTAATTATATTTGTGATCGATTGACGCTAATTTGGTCCAAATCTGTGAGCATACGTTGGGAGACCTCCATTGTGAGTAATCGTTCAATTCGCAAATTGGTCGTCCAGACGAGTGATTTCGACCTTTTTGACTGGCTTTCCCTGGTGAATTATGTAATAAAAATTTCATGATTTGGTAGAGTTTGTACATTACAGTAATCATTCTCCTATAAACAGTGTGTCAGACTTTATAGCACATTGAAATTTTAAAATTTATTCGTCTTGTAAATTACAAGTTGTAATTTTCATTACTTGTTCAAAATTGCTTACAGCTTGTCAAAGATCTCTCCCAAAAACACAATAGATTACAAAATTGCTTGCAGAACTAATCGTAAGAAAAAGACGAAACGCCGCCAGCAGACTACGTATATGACGTTGGCGTATTGTCCAACTCTGGATAATTCTGAGTAAAATGGAACACTTTCGGTACTGAAAACCTCAAAATACGGTACCGAGGGAGATGCATAGTTTAACGTTTTCAGGAGTATGCATGATTAACTATAATACGATGCATTAATTCTGTAACAATATGCATAAGTACATAAGTATGTTACGGTCGTGATAGGGGAGGAAGAATTCAGTGATTCAAATAAAAGTCGAAAAATATACAGAGTCTGACATTGCAATGTCCAAATTTTCATAAATAAAACTTTCAAATTTAACACTTAATTGCATAAGAGAATCCCTCCAGACCAACCGGATATTCCTTTTCCCTCCTGATGTTGGATAAACCTTATTTTATCAAATAAAATTTTAATTGTATGTAAACATGACGAAAACATTGCAAGTGAATGATTTCCTTTGCTGACTAATATTTTTTTTCTTCGTATCAACTTATTAAATTCGTAGTAAAGTTCGTCATTCAGAAATATGGTAATTATTATTATTTTGCATCACCTGACTCTAAAGTACCTATAGTTGACAACATTGACAAGGGTTAGTAATGCATTGTAAATAGTCATTTGAAGGTCTTGAGCAGGATATTCTCTTGTTCAAATTGAATATTTTACTAGTTTCAGGTAGGTTAGTTACGTGGCTGCGTCAGAGGATAAAAATTTCCACATGCGTCGGGTACTATAGTACCCGTATA